TTATTACGAATGAGATACATACGAAAAACAAAAGTATAACTGTAATTTACCAGAACACATGGGTAAATAATTCATCCAGCATGTGAGCAGGAAGGCATGACATCATGAGGTCGGCTCTAGAACACACCATAGCAGGTCCTGTTTTGTTTTTTCTCTTTTATTCCAGCATTAGGGAAATTCATTCCCCATAGTCACTAGACTTGACACCAGCATACTCTCATTTTTCCATATTGTCTGGACTTTTCATTTTTATTTCCTTTTTTTAAAGCATGTGATTATATATGTATTTTTAAATATGTTCCTACATACCAGTGTTTTGGATTCTACATTTGAAAAATAAGGTTAGAATTAATTTTATTCTAGGTTAGCAACAGATAAAAGCTAAAGGTGGTCAACTAATATACATTGTTTTTCTTGAAGAGATGTTAACTATTTTATAATTCTGTACTGGCTCTGCTACCATGAGGTAGCTTGCTTTCCATCAAATTTCTTCCCTTTCTGTTAGGCATCTTTACAAAGAAGTCCCTCAAATATAAATAAGTGGATTACCCTGCAGCTTCACATACATCCTGGTGAATATCCTGTTCACAATTTAGGTGATGAAAGGAAAACCTACAGTTGTTTTAATTTGGAGCCAAAATAATCACATCTCTCCAGTAAGGCTTAGAGAGAGGGGAAAAAAAGCGGAGAGGGGAGGGGGCACAGTCTCCCTGTAGAAAAAAGAATATTTTGTGGCGGGGCAGTGCAGCAGGGTTAAAAAAAATTAAAAATAAAACAAACACAAAACGTTAAGAGTGGGAAATAGTCCAGCAAAAGAGAGACCATCTGATCACAATGGAAGCACCTTGAGCTGGGGTCCTGGGCTGTGTTGTCCCGCCGGCGTGTAAACTGCATGTGTGTGTACACACAGAGACTGAACAGGGAGCACAGAGGGAATTAGAAAGAGCCTGGCCCATTTTTAATTTGGGTCTGTTTGCTTGCATTTAGCACTTAAGGGCTTCTACATTCAGTTTACTCAAAAGAGTGATGAAGCACTCCTTGCTTATGCCTCAAATCAGAAATGCATGAAGTGCAGCTGCAGAGATAATACATTTTCCCCAAAGGCTTTGGCTGAGCAAATTAGGTGTCAATGGGGTGCCTGCGCAGGCAGTACTCTCTCTAATTAGTCTCTTGAGCCTAGTTGGTGGCGGGTATGAGATGATCTAATCAATTGGTCTGTGTCTGATGGTTCGTGTAAAAATCCTACCAGGCAGACTCTCTCCCACAGGTCACCCACCTGCACAGCAGGGCTGCTCATTTTCATTTTTCATCTCCTCCATCACATGATGCTGACAGTTGGTTTTAAGAAAATTGAATCCAAAAAATATCTAGTTCATAGGGCACATGGGTCAGAACAAAGTTGCATTATGGGTACTAGCGACCCAATTAATTAATATTTATAGCTGAGAAGCTCTATGTAGATACTTCTGAATAAGGATTTTATCAATAAAATCCAATTTCTTGTCTAAAGCATTCATAGCTAGAGAAAGAACATTGTAAAAGCAGAAAGCAAGATAAAAATGGCAATCATTAATCTTATGGCTCATATACCTATGAGCTGCTGTGCACATAGTTGAGCTTGTGATTTATATTCAGTTTTGTTTGTGTTATGTATGCAGCGTATAGTAATAATCAGTTAAATGTAAGGGAAGGATTTCGCTGTTATAGTTTGCCTACCTACAACTGTCATGTGCCCTCTCTCCTTCCACCTGTATCCCCCCCGATCAAATGCATGATTACATTTAGATTTACAAATTTTTTTCTGGCAGTGAACTGTCCTACCTTAGATGCAGTCTTTGAAAACTGTAACTAATGTAGATGCCATCCAACGAGGGAGCAGGGACATCCTGTGCTGCCGGTGAGCAGTATCAGGCAGGGTACTTGGCACAGTTTGGACTCAGCTGCTCCCAGAGCTGGGGAAGAGTCTGGCTCTCCTTGGCACCTGCCTTCTTTTCATGTTATTGGCTCCTCCCATTAAGTGTCTGAGCCTCAACCTTGGTAACATACTTCTCATAATCACTGTGTCCACCATTTATCATCCAACTACTATTATTATGTATTATCCTTTAATCTCCAACTGTTTATGCCCTTGGTTAGGTACACATGATTCTCCTGGAGGTTACACCCAGCAAGACAGACACCATCAATGGCTTAAAAAAAAGTCATAAATCAGCCCAATAGGATAGTAACATGCTATGGATGATGGTGACAACATAGTTCATTGTTACATGAAATCAGATATACTGAAGATCAAATCATTTCTTTCAAATAGAATGTCAGGAGGCTAAAAAAAAAAAAAAAGCTTGGCCTACAGGCAGGTGTTAATCCTAGCCACCTTTCCTAGCCTGCAGTGTATCTGTGGACAGCCTGCTCTGTACCCAGCACTGTGCTCTTTCAGCAAGAGCCTACACAGAGCATTTTGCCCTCTGTCCCTGGGCCGTGAGAGATTTTTACATCTGAGAGCATATTCCACTCCCAAGTTCTCAGATCCTACCTTTCCTCTTTTTACTCATTCAACAACCGTTTACTGAGTACCTGGGCCAGATCTGGGCTATGCTCTAGGGACAGAATGGTCAACAAAAGCAAGCTTAATCAAGAACATAATGATGCCACCTGCCCCTCTCCATGCTCCCTCACAGGAAACACCCCCATGCCTCAGGAGGGACTACATAAAAAGTTCAGAAGGTTGGCTTGGGCACCAGGTCTGCATTCCATTGATTAAAGTGGTGGAATGGAGGAGAGCCAGGCAATGACTGCATCACTTGGGTGTGGCTGCAGGAACTCCATGCCCAGGCAAGCATATGTCGGGATAAACCCCGACCTGCTTGGCCAGGGTGGGCATGCTTCCTGGAAGAGCTGGAATCTCATAGAAAACAACAGGGACAGAGCTTCATAACCTCAGATATGGCAATGGATTTTTAGATATAACAAAAACCGTAAGCAACAAAAGAAAAAAAATGGATAAGTTTGACTTCATCAAAATTCAAATTTTTGTGTATCAAAGATAGACAACTATCAACAGATAGACACACGGCCAACAAGCACATGAAAAGGTGCTCAACATCACTAGTCTTAGGAAAATGCAAATCAAAATCACAATGAGACAGATACCAGTTCACACCCACTACATGTCTACAATCAAGGAAAAACAAAAACAAAAAACAGAAAATAATAAATATTGGAAAAGGTATGCAGAAACTAGAACCTTTGTATATTGCCAGCAGGAATATAAAATGATACAGCCACTATGGAAAATGGTTTGCCAGTTCCTCAAAAAGTTAAACAGAATCACCGTATGACCCAGCAATTCCACGACCAAGTGTTACCCAGAAGAATTGAAAACAAGTACGCAAATGTTTGTACATAAATGTTCATAGCAGCACTACTCAGAAAAGCCAAAAGGTGAAAACCACCCAAATACACATTAATACATGAATGTATAAACAAAATGTGGTATATTCATACTATGGAATATTACTTGGCCATAAAAAAGGAGTGCAATACTGAAATAAGCTACAACATGGGTGAACTTTAAAAACATTAAGTGAAAGAAGCCAAACACGCACATTATATGGATTCCATTTATATGAAATACCCAGAATAGGTAAATACCTGTAGGTAAATAGAGACAGAATGCACATTCATTATTGCCAGGAGCTGGAGCAAGGGAAGAATGGGAGTGAAGGATATAAGATACATAAGTAGAGGATATAAAGTCTCCTTTGGGGGTGACAGTAATGTTTTGGAATTAGAGATGATGGTCGCATGACATCGTGGATGCACTAAATGCCAATTAATTATATGCTGTAAAATGGTTAATTTTGTTATATGACTTTCACCTCAATTTTTTTAAAAAAGGGGGGAAAGGTTAACCTTCGAAAAAATCATTGTAGTAAGTGGGGGGAAATGAGTAGAGGGTGGAGAGGATGCTGTTTTAATGGTTCTTACCTATAAGATGGGAACTCTTTGCTCCCTTGATCCAGTAGTGCCATTCAAGGCTGATAACCTTAGTGGTACAGCCTGCCAGGGCAGCATCAGGGCAACCACACGGTGAGGTCTCAACAGAAGGCCCAGGTTCCCTTATGACTGTGTGGCACTGCAGAAGGGGACAAGCAGGCCAGACCAGACCTCAGTGACCTCGAGCCGCTAAACTGAGATGAGTTGGTTCTGGGATTCAGTGGAGCTGACTGGTCAAATCTCTGGGCTGTGTGACCTGAGCCTGGGAGTGTTTCTCTTCACCCTTCCTGGCAAGACATTCTTCTTGCATCCTAGAAATGAAAATGCTTAAGGGCCAAAAGAAACATGGAGAGAAATAATGTGAACATTCCTTCTTTATTCTTGAACCATTCTCGTGCACGCAGTTTCTGAGTTTAAGCATGCATTGTCGGAAACATAGTTGTACGCAGGATGTTGGGAAGAGGCTGGCAATTCAGGTCATGCTGGCCAATTTTCATTCTGCTGAAACTAGGTCTGATAATAGGCACCAAGGAATTATATGCAGCTGGAATTTTTGTAAAAGCATGTATATGATCCATTTTTATATTTCATGTTCATAAAAATGAACACGATGTGTCTTTTTAATGGTCTGTAGGATGCCACAGGCACTTAATTAAGATCAGTATTAGTACTAACGATTTAGGGAAGGAAATTTGTTGAAGTTCTTTTTCTCTAAATAATCCAAAAGGAGGTTAGACTATTTAAATTCATGGAGTTAAATTATTTTAAGGGAAAAAATGCAGTCAGAACATTTATTCATCATATTAAAAGAACTGTTTTGCTTAAGGAGACTCTTCTGTCTCAGGTATGTGTGCTCAGGGTAGCTGTGGAAAAAAATGGGCAGGCTCACTTTGGCCTGACCAATTTTGACATCTCATATAATTTAGGAAAAATTAATGATGTAAGGGGTTTTTTTTTCTTTTTTGTTTTTAACATATAACAATTTTCTCTTTTCCTCCTTCCAGGATGAAGTTGTCATCATTCTGGGAAGAATAAAAACATTAATGAAGTGGCCGATAATGTGAAGGGAACCATGGATCAGTTTCCTTTCACTCCCTGTGGTGGATTTCACTTGCAAGAAAATTGAAGCTGGCAAGACCCTGTTTTCTCTGCAGTTTATTTAAAACCTTGCACGCATTTGGATATCTTGTGATTTCCAAGAACTATGTGAAGATTAAGTTTTGCTTACTGATACATGGCATGTATTCTCTTCAGTCTTTTGTATTTGATTTTGTTTGATTTCCCTCTGCACCGCAGCGTCTTTGTAAAGGTTTTTATGCTTTCACCAGCCATGTCTTAAATACATTAAGACAACACATTCGGTGTTCACACTTCTTCAGTAATGTCTGTACTTGAAAGCCACACAGTGGCATGAAACACTGTGTGTTTTCTTTGAGAGCAGTGCACATTTTGCAACCACCAGGAAGGAAAATTAGAGCTAAAGCAAATCCGTGTTCTCCGACTGACTTGACAACTTGGTCCCTGGCCGTGGGGCCCCAGTTGTCTCTTACCTTTTGAGGACATTTGCAAATGTGTGTGTTTTTTTCCTTGGAAATAACTGCACGTTTATATAGGATATCGGAATCTGCGTAGCATTTTCAAGTCACATAGCGTGACTGTTCTCCGAGCAGGTTGGAAGTGAAGAAACCAGTATCAAGATGAAGAACAAAGACAGGGATAAATTGCTTACTTTTGACCTCTGAAAAGTGAGGTGACTTTTTACATGTTTTCTGGGTCTTGTCAACATCTTATTTTTTCCATCCACTTTGTTATGCTTTGTGAGTATTTTCTAAATGGAGAGAAGAGTGAGGAGCAGAATGTTTAAGGTGTGGGTATAAGAATTATCTCTGCTAGGTGAGCCCTGAAAGCTGTCTTTACTAGTTCACATTTAAAAAGAAAATTACAGAGTTATCCAGAGTTTAAAATTTGCTCATTTACGCCAAAGCACTTTTGAATTACATTTTTTAAAACAAACATTCCAAGCTGATTGGAAGGCACCCTAATTTTAGACAGTCTCCTGGAATAACTAACTGTTTGATGCAGGTTTTAGAAACCAGGCAGGAGTCTTGCTTTAAAGATGGAAAAGGGAAAAAAAGGAAGGTCCAGCTTCCCTTCTTTAATAAGTTGAGAGACCTTGTAGGAGGAAGGCGAGTATGTGACATGGAGGGAAAAGGGGACCGGGCATGCGCGTGCTTTCATCGAGGGGAGAGCTTCCGGACGCAGGTCTGCTCCCAGTGGGGCGGCCTCGCTGCAGAACCCCAATAATACTGAGGCCAAGGGGGCAGCTAGGAAACCTAGCTCCTCAGGACACCAATTCCTACCGAAATACCTTCATGTACATTGTTTTACATTTCCTATTAGAAGGAGAGACTAAGAGCTTGAAACACATCGCACTTTGGAGGATCAAGAATATGAATTATGAGCCAGTTTGACAAAGACTTTCTCTGAGAGTCAGGTGAAGGCAAACCTATTCTATAGTCAAAGCCAGGAAACCTAGAAAATTGGACCTAGAATTCTTAAACATCAAAACGGTACTTTCCCTGGAGTAGGGAGGGTGTGAGTGTAGATGTCAAGGTCACAACCATCTTGTCCAAAGTAGCATTCATTGTAAGCTTCTACGTGCTAAGTGAGGACTTATTCACTGATTGATTTTTAAAGAGAGGAAAAATTACCCAAGGCCAGAATGTTTACTGTTTGCTACCTAGAAATCTTTCCCATGCTTCTTTCTTACATTCCAACCCTTTGGAAGTTTTTATAGAGGTATTTTGCTTTAATGTGTATTTACATTAGAATTTCTTAAAGTAAATGTGGAGAGAAAATTTACATGCAATCGAAAATAGCCTTTCCCGCTATTTGTTTTGAATTACTCATTTGGGGGAGAGGCATAACTTTTGTATTTTATGAAATTTAAACTGTTGACTAAGTCTTGCTATGTAATAGGCTTTTGAACTTGAAAATTTGAAAATGTTTAATGTTTAAAGACTTTGATTAAAAATGTTAGAGTTATTCAGAGATATATGCCCATCCCTGGCAGCTTCTCTTGGGAAATTAAATGTAGTATTTCTCAGTGGAGGGAAAATCTGTTTTATTACAGAGACATATGTCTCAGAAGGGTCTCATTTAGGAGGTTTTGAGTTCCCCATGCTTGCCATCGGTACAGGACATCCAAAGTCTGCTTTGTCTCTCTCCTTTCCTCTCCCATTTGTAGCCACCCTCTCCTTCTTCATTTCCCACGTCTTGCTGAGGACAGCTATGAAAATCGTTGCAGACTGTGTTCATGAGCAGATTTATTATTCTATTGAGAAAGCACTGGAATGTTTTGGTGATACTATTTTTATATGAAGGAGTAGCTTGCATTGAAACAGCTGGAATAGTTAGAACACGTTAGCATGGTGATTGTATCAGTGTGACATCACTGCACACACAGCATTCTGAAAGGAAATTTGGGACTTCCTTTCTGTTTTCTTAAAGGAACACTTTGGTTGATTTCAAAATACAAAATACATAGGACATGAAAAAAAATTTGCAGTGCTCAGAAAAAACAAAACAAAACAAAAAACAGGGGGCATAAGGCAGGGGTGGCTGTCCATCCACTGACCCAAGGATGAGAAGCTATTTCTACCTCCCAAGAGTGATAAGAAAAGTTTCCAGAGCCTCCAGGCTTGCAGAGAAAGCCAAAATCTCTTGGTATCCTTCCCTCAATGTGTACATGATAGCCAGTGTAATCATACCCTAGGTAATGCGTCTCTACAAGATAATCATCTGTGAATATTACTGGTTTTGTAATCTTTGGTATATAAGAGGATGTTTAGGCTGTACATACTGGGGTAGATTATTGCCTGCCCCCCTTATACATAGGAATATGCTGCAAAATCGCATATAATACCCATCTCTCTTACCGGCTTGTAGGCAGAGGAAACTGTATATGTTACTGCCTTGCAATTTTCTCATACACCAAAAACCAAACCAAACCAAACTCAAGTAAAATAAGCAATCTCCTATTCTCAGTCCCTTCCCACTGCAGCATATTTTAGAGGCACATACAAAATCTACATTCTCTAGTTGGGAGTGGATTTTTAAATTTTTTTAATCTTTTTTTTTGTATGATACACTGAGATGCATACTTTCTAACAGGGAGTTGGTACCTAAGAAATGTGCTAGCATTCAGAAAACTATTATACTGCAAAATGACACATAGTAAGGAGAATGGAATAATACATGTTGCATATTTGTTACCAATTGTGATTTGTCTGTATTATGGAAGACGTAATGGTTTGTCAGCTGTCACTGTTGTTTTCTTGTAACATGATATGGAATAAAGTATAGCAGAATCTCTACATTCTCCTGGTACATCTTGGTGGGTACCAAATAACACCATATGACGTACATATACGTCAAAGACACATTGTCTTAAGAACTCTTAGACTCAACCATTCTTAAAGAGTGTAGTAAGAGACCAAACACACAATGCTCTTGGATGTGGGAAGGAGTGAGTTAGCAGGAATGTTCTAGGAATCTGTTAAACCCTCCCTTTCCTTGATTTGCTGTGTGGAACATAGGTAAAGAAGTGGAGGTTATGCAAAACAAACCTCATGAGCTCCAAGAGCTTCACAATTCCCCCAGCTCCTTACTGACATGCACCACGTGTTCTGTGCATCTGGAGCCGATCTGGTTTTGTTTAATGATGGTCTTATTTATCTTTTATTGCCTCTTTTTTTTGTGGGGGTGGGGGGTGAATTTGCACTAAGATGAGGTGGGTAGGTTACCTGTCACTGAATACCAATCAAAGCCCAAGCATGCTGACATTCTGCCAGAAGTGTCACTGTTCTCCAAGCTGAGAACGCTTCCTGTGAACCCTGCCCAGCGGGCGCCTGTGCTGAACTGGCACTGCTGGGAGCCACCCTGGGATAGGCAGCGCTGCCTGAGGAGGCTAGTTTCGTTTCTCTCATCACCTCTTCTTGTCGGAACTATGAGCTTCATAACCCCAAACAAACCCCCATGAATTGGATACATTGATAATAAAGTTCATAGCAATACAATACTCAACTTATAGATATGCTATTTGGTGATTTGAAAACATTTATCCTTGAAGGTCAAAATCAAAATTCGTATCTCACGTTGAGAGGACCCTGGAGCCCTGCCTCTCCCCTGCACAGACCCTTACCCACCAGCAGCAGCTACCTCAGGTTTCCCTTCCCTTGCTCCTTTCCTGTGACTTCTGTGATTTCATAGTTTCTAAGCCCTCACAAGCTAACATTCTCACAAAACCAAATGTAAGGTTTCTCAGTTGATGTGTATTGCATGCCACAAAAGCTCCTGACAACCCCCACATCTCCAGCCCCCGACTGCCCCAGCTGTTTCCCCCAAGACAGCAAGTCATCTATGCCAAAGGCACATGCATTTCCTGTCACCACCAGTGGATTCTGAGACAGAAGACTGTGTAGAGGCAGACTTTGTGGTCTCCAAGGTAGAGATAATCGGCAGATTTCTTAATTGGGAACCATAAATTATCCCAAAAACTGACTAGAATTATACAAGTGTCGAAAGAAATAACTTGCTCCTTGGAGCTGTTTGAAGGGAGTAAAGTGCATGCCACTGTCCCATGTCAACAGTGACAGGCGTGCTGATGCCCAATGTGACATCACTCCCAGCGGCCACAGCCGTGGGCCCTTCGGCAAGCCTGGGCTGATTTAATCCCATGAGTTCTTAATACAAGAAAGAAGGCAGACAGCTGGTATCTACAAGAAGCCAAAGAAATAACTTTGAGAAATATTTTTAACTTTTTAAATGTAGCAGGAGAGATGACAACCCTCTCTCATCTCATTATGGCCCCACGTTCCCTTCTTTTTCAGCAGGGGCTATTCCTGCTCTGCCGGGTTGGAAGATGTGATGTGTGCTCGCTAAGGCAATCAGTTAGAGACAGGAGGGCCGCACTCCTCGAGTTGCTGTTGGCCCCCAGAGAAAAGAGAAACCAGAGGGGAAGGTGTCGGAGCAACCCTGTGCCACTAGGTTAACGCGTACAGTTGCTGAAGAATGGCGGGCATTGTAAATTTCTGCAATGAGGACCCCGCCGTGGCCCAGCAGCCTGCTGCTACCAGTGGGTGGTGGCGTTATGGGCATTAGCTTTGAGAAGCTTATACAGCAGAGGGGGTAGGATAAAGGACACAAATCAGGAGAAGACTGACAAGATTAAAAAAAAAACCCAAGGCTTCGTATTTACTGTTCATCCCCCACGCTCTCCATGTGCTATATTGTCTGCGTTGAGTCCTGCTGAGAGAGAACCAGGCACAATAATAGCTCGGAGCAGCCTTGCAGCCCCGGAGCCAGCCTCTGCCAACGGTGCTGACTGTGCTGGTGGAGAATGGGATTCTGATAGAGTTGTCTTTTTTTCTCCTTCTCTGCGAGACCACCAATAATTATGGAGGGCACGCTGCAAAGATGGGGTAAGGGTTCCCTGTTGGAGTGTATCCTGAGAAGTGACCCAGCGGGGCTTCCAGTGAAGGGATATGTTCCAACAGCCCAAGGTGTGCCTGCCTGACAGATGCAGACAATGCTGCAGACATCCAGGGACATATGTTTGAAGCAGCAGTTTAAGGATTTAGAGACATTCAAATGCAACTTAGCTTATACATCATACTATAGTGTAAAACAATGACTCTTCCCTCTCTCCATCTCTAACTAAATCGGTTAACAGTACCCCGCAGACCCTCGGGGCAAGGAGGCACAAGTCCTGCCAACTTATTCTGTGAAACATTTGGGAAATCCAAACCCTCATGTATCCATTCTCCTTAGCCTAGTGGCTCACAGCCCTGGCTCTCATTAAAATTGTGGGAAAGTTTTGAAAACCTACCCCCAACCCCAAACCAATTCACTGTAGAAACATTGAGGAAGGGTCCCTGGCATCAGTCTGGGAGCTCAACAGGTGTTTATATCATGCACCCTGAGTGAGACCTGCTGGACTCTTCTCTTCCTCCTGTCTGTCTGCTACTCCAGGAAGAAGGTAGGCAAACTTTTCCTATAAAAGCCGGATAGTAAATACGGTCATCTTTCTGAGCCATACAGTAGCTGTCACAACTCCTCACTCTACTGTCTTAACGTGAAAGCAGCCGGGCTGAATACAGAAATGAACGAGCATGGCTGTGTTCCAGTGAAACACTTTATGGGGCACTTAAGTTTGAATTTCATACAATATTCACAGGTCATGAAATATTTTGCTTTTGATTTTTAAAAGCTCTTTTAAAAGTAAAACCCATTTGTAGCTCACAGCCTGTATAAAAACACGCAGTGGGCAGGAATTTGCCCCGGAGCTGTAGTTTGCTTACCTTGGCTGAGAATGCGCCCTGGTAATGGGGTAAGCTCGGACCACCCCTGATATTTGCTGGGCCCAGGGTAGATCCAAAATGGAAGCCCATATACCATAAAGCAAAATATTTCAAAATGTAAATCCAACCGACAAAATGTTAAGTAAATGTGATTCTCTTACCTTAACAGTATGTCTTCAGAATGACCTAGGCGGCCAGGGTTGCACTTCGAATTCTTGGACTCCTCAAAGTTCACCAAAACTGGGCAACGTGTAGCATTTGCCTGGTTCAAGAACTACCCTCTTCATTTCACTTCCCACTCCTAGCTGTAGGGGTGTGGATCCAGTGTGAGGAGTCACACATGCATGTGTGTGAACACCTCAGCGCCCCACATCCAGACTGTCCGTTCTCGTGGTAAGCAGTACCCCACTGGCCAGCCACTGGCATCAGCCGCATACTCTCGGGGAGGGTGGTTTCGGGGAAGGCTCCATTTGCAGAGAGAATTCCAGGGTCCCAGACCTCCGGAGTGTCTGAGTAGAAGTGGGGGAGGCAGGCTCCTGGTGGGTGCGGCACCATGGAGTCCGCCTTCTGTGGAGGAAGGCTATGCCCACAGAGGCTCAGAGCGAGGCCCCGTAAACGCGCGAACTCAAACAGTGGTCCCTCTTGCCTTGGTTTACGGGCACTACTGGTCGGTGATGGGAGGCTGGGAATTAGCTCCCGGGAGTTTTCATGTCCGTCACGCGTATCATCAGCCCCTCTCCTCCGAACCCAGAGAAGCCGACTTCAGAACGTGAAGGGCGAAAAATTGCTTCAGCACACCTGTCAGCCCAGGGGGGCTGGAGAGGGATTCGAGGATGTGAGCCTCCCAACCGGAAAAATGCGCTAGGAGCCGCCATACCACGAAACAAACAGCGCGACGAGCGGACACGGTGAGAAACAGCACTCCATTCTAGCACAACAAGATGGCGCCCGCCGCGTGGCGCACTTGTCCTGCTTTCGCCTGTTCTGCCCGCACATGCGCAATTGTTCATTGCTGTGTTCATGAGGCGTCCATACCACCACTAGCGCATGCGTACTTCTACTGTTTACCTCCTACACAGGCGTGTTGTTGTGACCTTTGCCCTGGGTCCCACGGCCTACTCCTACTCACTCAAGGCTGCGGACATCTCTTGGAATTAAAGGATTTGGCCTCCTGTCAGTCATTTGCTGGAACTAGCTGAAAACCAGTTCACAAGAACCAATTACTGAATATTTAGGAAGTTTGTGAGCCAGTTCTTTAATCACTGACACCTGGAAACCAGAAGGGAGCATTTACACCACTGAAATCGCCACAGCACTGCCTCTCATCTCTTTCTTTCCAGACTCATCTTCCGTCTCCATGCACACTTCCTCCCCATGTGCGGTGCTGAACTTGCCACTGATCCCTGGATGTTCCAGGCATCTACATGCCCCTATTCTTTTGCAGGCACTGTTCCCTCTGATTGGAACACCCTCTCCCATTTTTCAAGCAGGCAAGTTCGCATTTACCCTTTTAAAGCAGGTTAATTTCTATGGGTCTGGAGTTCAGGTGCAGTTTGGCTGGATGGTTCTGGCTTGAGGTTTCTCATGAGGCTGCAGTCAGGTGGTGGCTCAGCTGGGGTTATGTTTAAGGCTTGTCACTCACGTATCTGGTGCCACAGCTGGGACAACTCAAAGAGCTGGGAGCTGAGACAGCTAGAGCAGAGCACCTCTAACCGAACGTGATTTCTCCACAAGGTCTCTTCAGCATGGTGGCTCAGATTAGCTGCACATTTAATACGGTGGCTCAGGGCTCCAAAGCACGTGCACCCAGAGAAGAAGAGGGAGAATCAGGTAGAAGCCGTATACTTTTTATGACCAAGCATTTTATTTGGTAGAAGTGAGTCACAAAGGCCATCCTATATTTAAAGGGAGGAGAATTAGTCTCTACCTTTTGATGGAAAGAATGTCTTAAAAATTGTGGGTATGTTTTAAAACCACAACTGTCTGCCTTCTGACCACAAATTATGCATATATTGATGCCACATGCAAAATACACTCAGGCCCTCCTTGAACCCCCCCCCAAATATCTCATCTGGATGGCATCCATCTCAGGCTCAAGGTCCCGTATCCCAGCACCCAAATCAGGTTCAGGTGCTGCAGACAAGGCTCCATAGTGCAGATCCTCAATCACAGCTTCCTGAGTACTGTTCTTGATCTGATCCTCATGATCCGTGAACTAAAGTGACACGTTCTTTGCTTCTCCCACCCCGACATACTTCAGTGGGACAGGCATAGGAGAGCCATTATAGACGTTTCAGAGTCTATAGCAATCAGGTAATCAGTCTGCAGCAATTCTGAAATCTAGCCAGGCACACGCTGCCAGTTTCTTGATTAGAGCTCAGCATGGTTCCGTAGGAATGATTCTCCGTGGCTCTTGGCTTCATTCTCTGGGCTCTTGTTGCCTCCCTCCTGTTCTATAAAGTGCACCGCCTTTTTATAGCTGAGCAATCTTCCCAGCCTGCTTCTTTCTCATAGAATTTTGGGAGTCCAAAAGCCTCTTTTCATTTTATACTACCTCTGTCCCTTTAAGTCTGAGCTGGAAATGGTTTCATTAGAACAAGACTCCTTAATATTCTGTTTCTCATCAGTCTTGTTGGGATTCACTCCATTAGACAAACACTGCACTTACAAGTCTCACTGAGATAAGCTTTTCTCCAACTTGACTCCTGCTAACGGTACTGCGGGACCGTGCCCTTAAGATTTTTAACATGCATTTCTGTGTAACAGAGACATCTAAAAGGCATGCCTTTCATATCTTTAGAAGGACTTTTGATGGTTCGAAAGAACCTATGTGGCACTACCTCCAATCTGTCTGAGGGCTTAAGGAAGGGTTCCAGGGTCACAGCACTGCTTCCATCTTTAGGGAGAAATTACGTATTTTAATTTGAGCCTCATTTGCCATATGGTGAGGATGAAACTGAGGAATAGTTTTAATTTTTGAACCCCAAAAGTCATAGCTCTTTTATAGTTAACAATTCTTTCTCTAGTTCATCTCTCTCATCTCGTGTTTTCTATGGGCAGCTGGAACAATCAGGGGCACCTTGAACGATATGCCTGGAAATCTTCCTAGATCATGAGCTTATTAGGTATGTTTTCTAACATCCATGTTACCACTGGGGAAAATATTCCTAGACTTTCCACCACTTCACAACCAGCGTCTCCTTTCCTCCGGCTTCCCTCACTTGCCTTTAATGCCTGCCGCACACACAGCCTTCCTCAAAGCTCTTCCAATCCCCGCCCTCTCCCCAGGCCCCCAACCGCTGCCACATGTTTTAAGTTTTGTTACAGCAATGACTCACTTTTAGGTACCAAAAAAATTTCCATGTATCTATTGTTGTGGAACAAATCACCCCCAAAATTGGCGGCCTAAAAACAGAGTTCGTTTATGATCTCTTTCGTGGTTTCTGTGGCTCCAGCATTCTGGCTCAGCTTGTTTGGGTGGTTCTGCCTCAGGAGCTCAGAGGTCGCTGGGGCCGCGGCCAGCTCAGGGCTCCTGCACTCATGTCTCTGGCTCTTAGGCTGGGAAGACCTCAACGGCTCGGGGCTGGGACTGCTGGGTCTCCATTAGGCATCTTTCTGTTTGTCTCCATGGTCTCTCTCTGTGGTTTCTCTGGCAAAGCGGGTTTCCATGCTCCAAAGGAAGATACTGCAAGAGAGCGCCAGGCAGAAGCCATATTGCCTTTGATGAACTAGCCTTGAAAGCCACACACCACCACTTAGGCTACCTACTCTTAATTAGAAGCAAGTCCTAAGAACAGCCCAATACTTAAAGGAAGGGGAATTAGACTCCGCCTCTGACTGGGAAGTGTTTCAAATCCTATGCAGACTCGTGTTAAAACCATTGCACCTCTGGAGTTGAACAACAAAAAGGCCCTGCCCTGGTATGCATTTACTTACTGATCTGGATGAGTTTGGTAGACTGGAAGAGAAGCCAAGACTGTGATCTTGGAATTCTTGGAGTTAGGTCTCTATTTTAAAAATTATCTGTAACTGAATGTTATCCCCCATGAGCACCTGGGAAACCTTTGCCTGTCCGATTGATTTTGACTCTGGGGGTGATAACTGCATAGAGCCCTACTTTCCTCACAGGAAACCACATGTTCTACAGAGGAGTTTTGTTCTCTGACTCATTAGTTTCATGCTTCCCCAAGCCAGGCAGCCACTGTCCCAAAGGAAAAAAAACGCTCCTCGGGTAGCCAACAATCAGCACTCCCTCCACCTCTAGTCTCTAAGACTTGCTAATGCTTCAATTTGACTTAGCCTGAGTAAGTAGCTTTTTAATACTAATTTTTTAAAAAACCCTGCTGTGCCAAAGAATTAAATAAGCACTTGTCTAGCTTTAAATGCTTTACAGGGGACTAAAAATAACACCTTTTGGGACAGACAATCTAGTTTTCCACCGCACTTCATTTGAGGCAAGAAAATCTCTTTTCTACAAGGTTTTGATTCTATGGCCATAGCTAGGATGGTATGCAATCAATTTTCCAAGTGTAGAGAAATTCTCGGGGTGCAGAGATTCTTCTTTGCAGGCTGACAAATTAAAGTGTGTATTTCAGTGCAGGGGGTGGTGCAAGGAAGTGATGCTCAGCCCCCAGAGATGACTAGAGTCTCCTTTTTTATATTTAGACCATGTCTAGCAATTCATGAAAATGAATTGCTTGTTCTGTTTCCCCTTAAGTCATTCTCTCTCTGCCCCCTATTCTCTCCAGGTTTTATTTATTTATTTTTAAAAATAACTAAGTCACATGTGATTCATTCCTAAAGCTTAAGACTTATTTTTAACAACTTGCTCAAACACAAATCCTATTGTTCACATCCTTGGGGAGAGTGAGTTACTCCGGAGGAAAAAAAGGAGAGCTCTTGTAGACATTTTTTATTCAGTGAATAATTTATATTAAAATAAATTGTACAGAAAATGTGAAAAATCTTTGAGTAAGCCAAAGATTACTGTACTGGGGACCAGAGGAGACATGATTGAAATCCACAAAGCTTGGGAGGGAGCTGCAAGGGGGTGTTCTCATTCTGAGCTTTTCAGTGGTGTCCTGTTGTTTTAAATGCCGAGGTTCTGTTGTCTGTCCAGAGCACCCCTTCCATGCCACCTTGTTCACTTTCTCTTTCCCATGGTTAACAAGTGTTGTCTGGACTCAAGGAAGTTTTGATAGAGACTCAGCTGAGGTAAACCTCAGAGATCACTGATTTGGTGTAGACTGGATGAATTTAAAAAAAAAAAAAACAAACGCAGCAGCAGGGCAGGAGAGAGACAGAGAAGCAGTAGGCTGTGATGACAAAACATCACATTGAGTCACATCAACTCCCAGCTCTTAGTCTCTTAATTTTAATCACATCTTTTCTTCTTGAGTATCAACAATATTGCTGCCAAAACCCTACAGCTATGGGAGACATAAACACTTAAATCTACCAGAGACAGATGGCAACATAAATCTCCATTGTTGCTCCCTTAGAGGACTCCCAGGGCTGCCGCCCTCTGTGGTGAACGGGACATTTGAGGTGACTTTCCCACAAGGGTGATTTTTAGATTTACCTTCAGGAGTAAAGATGCTGCATTGTTTTAGGCGGAATTTCGTTGGCTGCGATTGTGGGAATTACAACAGCAGCAGAACGTTAATGCTGGAACGAAATTTACCAATTAGCAGCTCGACAACTTCCTTTCTGCTCAGCCTCCCAGGATAACAGATGTGGTCATTACATCTGGCCACCTCTCTCCAAAAAGTCTGTTCCTGACCATACAGAGTGGCCGGCGAAAAGATAGCCTTGATTACAGCAAGTGAAAGCCAGATGGTCAAGCCCTGTTTTTGATCAGAGAATCTCAAAAAACATATTTGAATCTATGATCAGGCACTTAAGCAGAGTATGACCTTTTGCTGAATTGTCTTAATTTTTTTTGATGTCCCATCTTTCTGTTCTGTGACAACCTTTGGTCAGTTGTGCTCCACTAAATACATCAAAACATTAACACTTTTTTAGATACAGCTAGGATTTAGTTTGTTCTATTTAAAAACACTTTTTGTGGTTGACTTAAAAATCCAAATCTGCATATGT